AAATTTTTGGGCTCCAAAGCCTCCAGTGAATTGTATTCTTTGTCGAACAAGGAATTTGGTTTTTGGACTATATAAAATGGAAACCTAGGTCGTTGTTGAAAGTTATGAGAAGGAGAGAGATGTTTCCTCGTGATGGAGTTGTGATGGATAGATGAAGTTATATGTTTGGTAGAGTGAGCACAGATGTCGAGAGAGAGTCCTGTGGAGTACACGGGGAAAAAGTATAAGGTAAGAATTTGTGTACATGGTTCGTGTTAGAAATTTTGTACTTTTGTAATGCATTTACAAAATTATAATAAAATCTCTTCTTATCTGTGGATGTAGGCCAAGTTTGACTGAACCACATAAATTATAACGACCTAAAAAAATACCAAAAATATAATAATAATAATAATAATAATAATAATAATAATAATAAAATTTCGGCATGACCTACACAGAAAAAGTCCATCCACAACCTTTTGAAATACATAAAAATGCAATGGCCTCACTGGGTCTCAAAACTAATCTATCATGTCCCAACGCACAATGCAATAATATATAACATCCCCAAAATCAATACACACATATAAAATGTCCCATTCCTCCATGCCATCCAAACAAGGAATCAATTTAATTAAGTTACAGTCCATGAAATATATTTATTTACACAAATTCTACCATTACAGTACTAGACAAGTTACACTTAATTTTTATAAAAGGTACATGATCATGTTTCTATACAAAAGACAACAAAATAAGAATTCTAGTCTAATCTTAATTTACGGTGGGTTGTCGCCCGCCCCTTCTTTTCCCAAACCTAAAGAATGTTAAAATAATGGGGTGAGCATAAAGCTCAGTAAGAAGTGTCTAAGACGCACCTCTTATGACTCCGTGAATCCACGTAAGAAATAGAGTAGAAGTAAATGGGATCATGCCTAGGGGAAAACAAGTAAAGTAACGATAATAATCAACAAATACTTACGTAAGTCATATAACCACCAAATATACAATGTATGCCAATGCAATGCCATGCCATGCAATGTCGCTCCACATTTCCGAATCAATACCGTTTCAACTTCTAAATCGTTAGTGTAATCCGACCCAAGGCACCTTCAAGGCGTTACGAAGGGAGGGTTGGCTAGCTTTCCCCGACCATATGGCACCTTTATGGCGCCATCTGGGCCTAGGTAGCTCAACCGCACTAGAGTCTCTCTCTAGCTCCCTTCTAGACCACACTAATACCACAGACCACTAAACGCCTCCTAGGCGTCCTGTTTTTCACAAACACATTCAAAAATGCTTCGCAAAAGTAATTTCATTGCCTTTTAAAAAAAAAATACTTTTCCCCTTTTTCTTTCCCAATAGATGCATGAATGCTTCATGCTTCACAATTTACCATAATTTTCACATCATCAAACCATAACAACATTTCATACTAAAGAAGAATTTTCTCATGAATTTTTAGTATGTTTTAGGTCAACAAAATTTCGATAATTACATATATTAAACATGGACATAATCACAAGGGCACGCTTTCCATATTCAACCAACAAATCATAAACACATATATTATTTACACATAACACATATACTTCTTTAGCATCATGACAATTTCTCAAGAAAAATTTACAATCTAGTATGATATACTTCAATTATAGGGAATTAATTCACAAAAAATCTAAGGGATTGCAAATTAAAACACCCCTACCTCACTTAGATGTAAAACCCCCCCAAAAATTCAAAATCTCTAGAGTGCCCCAAACAAGGAATTGCTTATATCAACGCGTAGATCTCGCTAAGCTCTCCGTTTTGCCGCAAACGGCATCCAAAAATTCCAAAGGATGAGAGAGTAATCAAGGTTTGAAGTTGTAAAAGGAAATTTTATTTATTTTTATTTTTTTATTATTATTTTATTTATTTATTTTTTCAGCGAGAGAGAGAACTGGGCAGAAGTAATCCTGCCGAAGGTAATGGCTGTAAAGCCATTACAATTGTTATAATATCATGTGGGTCCCACCAATTTTTTTTTTATAATTATATTTAATAACATAAACTTATATATATTTATATATATAAATACAATAACTAATTCACCACCACACCAATTAACATATAAAAAAATAATCTATGCACAAAAATAATAATGCAAGAAATGCAATGGACTCGTGATACAATCCTTGTACACAACAATCCTAGTAACGGATCCCACTTGGAACTTTCCGGCCCGAAAAATGGAAAATGCCGAAATGGCAACCATTGCATTTCCACGAGTCCTAAACTCAAGGAAATGTCCCGACCAACTCTCGGACACACCCGACGGTGTCCGGCACACAAAACTGGAAAAGACAAAAATGCCCTTACAAAAACAAAAAATTTCAGAAAATGAAAAATGGTAAAAAATTGGAAACGTTACATAAATCTTGTAATTTTTACTTTGTCTTTTGTTGGGTCATCGTGTTCATGAAGCTTCCATTGTCCCAACACATCTTTTAGAGCTTGGCTTGTTCGTGTGCTTAGTCGAGATCTTGACAAATTGGAAAAATTGATTTCTTCTCAGCTCATCATTATTTTAGAAAGTTCGGGCTCAACTCATTTAATAATAATAAAAAAATTTCAAGCCGGTTCGATTGGAACTTGTGTTCAAGACTGTTTTCCCTTAGTTATGAAGTTATTCAAGTCTACACAAACCCATGTTCATCAACCTATATAAGCCTATGTTTATGAACATGTTCATAAACCTATATGGATCATATATAAGTCTATGTTTAAGAAAATATACGAGCCTACATTAGCTCTTGTTCATGAGTCAAGTCCAATACTATTCTAGATGGACTCATCTACTAAACAATCTAAGAAATTGATCTTAAACTGAACTCATTTACTTAATGAAGAAGCCCAAGCCATGCTATTTATAAACATTTCCATTCATTTGCGGTCCTCGTTTACTCCTGGACACAAGCTGGTTCCATGTTTTAACAAAAATGTAGCTATATTTATTTATATATATATATATATATATATATATATATTAAAAAAGGACTTTAGATTTTGAAATAGATTATTAGTTTTAAGGGATAATTTCAGTGACACCCCCACTAATTTGGCCAAATATCAGTCTAAAACATCTTTCGAAAATAACTATCACTCACGTTACAAACGTTTGCTCCGTTTTTCACTCACACCCCAAAAGTTAGTTTGCAGGTATGTCAGAACACTTTTACAAATAAAAAGACATTTTTACCCTTTGACTTTGGTTTGACCCTTGACTTTGGTCTACCCTCATTTTTTTAATTTATTTTTTTACAAAATATCAGTATTAAAAGACAATATGGCCCCTTAAAAATTTGTAAATTTACAAATTATGTTATATATGCCGTTATCGGAATATGCCATTGTCCGGCTTCGCCCGATCTCGATTCCCTCGTCGAGCAATTCTCCACTACGTGTATAGGTTACGCTTCCTCTCTTGTTCAGCGTTGCTTCACGTTTTCTCCTGGTGATTCTCAGGTTCGATTCATTGGAAAGATGATCACTTAGTTGAAAGATGATCACTTAGTTGAATGAATACACTGACTACCCAATTTGGGTATAACTTAATTTATTACTTTGTGTCATGTAGTTAGAGGATGGTAACAAGAAGGCAGAAAACTTAATTTTGTTTCCTCCCGCTGATCGGAACATATAGATATATATATATATATATATATATATATATATATACACACACACATAAGCACAACACCACCACCAATCGCCGTCGATCACCGTAAAGAGGACCTCCAACATGCCTCGACTGCTCTCCTCAAGAAGATGTCGATCGGCGCGTGTGGCGCAATTCAAGCGACAGGGTGCTGAGCTTGTATTTGCCATGGTTTGATGGTGTCGACTGTGAAGAAGGCGGCGGTGAGCTTGCGGCGGTGCTTAGAACATTGACGGCAGTGTGCTCGGCCGATGGAGATAGCTGGTTCGGGACGGCATTGAATCAGCGACTAAAAAAGTTGCGATTCCGGTGATGGGTTGTGATTGGGTTTGATGGCGACCGGCGGGATTTAACGGCTGCGAGCGTAGCTTTGGATGATGGTGGCCGGCGGTGGAGAGGATGGCTGTGGATCGGCTGGTCCTCACTGAATAGTTTACTCATCATCGCCGTTATCCGGTCCGCTTCTCTTCACCGTCACTGGAATTGGAAGTGGAAGATCACAGATCGCCGCCGTGGTTTTGTGTGGCTTGGTTGATTTGTGATCAATTTTGTGGTTTTATTAGTGGATCTGCGTGTTTGGTGCAAAACCTCTAATTCATCTTCATCTCTTTCTCTCTCTATCACACACACCAATATGAAAACAGAATAATCAATTACAGTGTTTGGGGACTGGATTGGAGGCACTTCTAATCAAAATTTTGTTTTGGTTATTCCAAATTTGGAAAATATATCATTTTCTCTAACACAACAAAAATGGGTTTGGGTTATGCAACCATAGTCGCCAGCGGCACCACCGCCACCACCCCCCATCATCGCCGACCACCAACCACCAACCACCAATCTTTCTTTACACTTTCTCTTTCTCTTCTGCAACACTCAACTTTTGGAACCACCACCCACCACCACCACGACGGCCAACAGCACCATCTACCCACTCATTCATTGTCAGGGGTATAATTGTCTTTTAACTAATTTGATATTTTGAAATATATGTTATTAAAAAAATAGGGACAAAATTGTCTTTTCACATGTTTTTAACGCAGACTGTGACGGAAAAGCGAAAATGGACCTAAGTGATAGTTATTTTCGAAAGATATTTTAGACTCATATTTGGCCAAACTTCAGGGGGTGTCAGTAAAATTATCCTTAGTTTTAAAATGTCCCAAGCCTCGTTGACAACTTCTTCCTTTGGTTTAAATATATATATATTTTTTCTGGGGTAGGTGCAACTTTTTCTTTTTTAAGACACAAAAGGGTGTTTCTAACATTAATTCTTCATGTTACACTCAATCATCAACAAACCACATGCATCAGGAAATGCTGAAATATCTAAAACATTTGCATTGAAGATTTTATCCAAATTAAAGATAGAATGAATGCGTTCGTGGAAATATATATATATATATATTGTTGAATATCAAAGCAGCAAGCCAACCCCATCTTGAGGTGGACATTGGACAGTGTCTTAATTCCCAGCGTAGCCCTCAATTCATTCATGCCATTCTAATTCTGAAGAGCCCTGGTAGACTCTTCTAAAGCTTGACGTTGTTTAAAGACTGCAATCTTGTAGTAAACAATTACAGTAATTTTTAACTTTCAAAAATTAAAACATAGGTACTCAAGCAAGGTTCCTTCTCAGTGCCCTAATTAACCCCAAATGTGATAATCTTTGTGTTAGTCCACAACCTGCTTCCAAAGTTGAGGTTGAATTCACCTAAAGCTGAACCAAGTCTTCTCACAATATCCTTCTCAGTCATGCTGAATTCTTTTTCCATCTGGCATAGCAAAAAAATAAAAATAAATAAAAATAAAAAATAAAAAATTATTGTTACAAAAAAGTGTCCTTGGCATATCAGTTTTCTCGATTATTTAGCTACATTTGGATAGATGAACAGGTTTGCAGTTTAAACAAAAGGTTCTTTATTAACGTTGGATCATGAAATTCAAAATGTTAGATTAGAGATGGAAGATATTGCCTCAATATAGGGTTAGAATTCTTTACATGGTCATGGATTTCAAATAACTCCATCTTGTTATTTGAAATCCACTCTCAAATCATTATTTTTTTTTCAGAAGTTACACACCCCACAACATGCCCCTTGTGGGACTTGAACTCTCAACGTGTCCTCTGAAAGGAGAGATCATACCATCCGGGATTAGGTCTAGTGGAAAGGCTCTAGAACCTAAACCTGAATCACTCATATTAATTAATCCTTTAAATCATTAAACATAAATTCATTCATTTCAAATCCTTCAACCCAAATGGAGCCTTCTATTTAGAACTGTGGAATGGAAATTAATTACCTGCGCGACAATGGTTATATCGATAGTGGAGTTGGCAAAAGGCACAACACTAGTGTTGATGACTGTCAAGTGAAGCTTCTGTATCTCAGTGAGTATTTTCACCAGAATTCCTTTCTGTTTATCGCCATGGATCCTTAAAAGCACATTGTTATCGCATACTTTAGCTTCGATCTCCAGAAGCTGCTCATCAGAGTGGCCAGCGAAATGCTTTTCAGAATTATATGACTTCTTGATGCCGACGCTTGATTCAACAGCACTACCTGTTTTTGAAGTAGTACTGATCTGTTCCTCCTGTGTCTTCACTCTTTCTTGCAGTTGTTTCACATACTTGGTTGCCTCTCCAAGAACTGAAACTTTGTCCATCTATATATAATAACAATAAAGAACACATTAACTAATTTGGGACCAACTAGACATGATTTAACTCATTTGGGACTGGTACTTCAATATAAGTATAAGTAGTAGCGTTTGATTGTTTGAGAGACTATGATGAACATTAATGTCAACACCGTGTGTCAAAGAACCACAAATTAGTATAAACGCATTCACACAAGTCTATTTTCTTACCAATGGCCATTAGCCAGCCATTAGGCAGATGTTGTGTGTTCGAGCCCTGCTAGGGGGCAATATTATGGATGCGTGTTCGCTCTTCAAACTTTTGGGGGCAAAAATAAAAATAAAAAAATGTTTACCTTCTTGAGGCCAGGAAGAAGGGCTGATAAAGCTATTATCCCCTTGTTGAGTTTCTCTCGTCGCTTTCTCTCTGCTATTGTGTGACGTCGTGAGTCTCGTGACTCAGCTGATAGTGTTGTAGCTATGCCAGTTCTCTTGGTCCCTTGGCCAGCTTTAGCTGTATCATTTTCACCATCCTCTAGATTTATGGTGCCAAGTAAGTGTTGAGGGTTTCGAGACAAATTTGAATTGCCAAAAGAGAGAATTATCGGAGAAGAGGTATTAGGATTTTGTACAATGTGAGTGGTGCAAGAATAATACTGAGGCTTGAGTTGTTTTGTGGTTTTCTCAGCAATGGAACTCTCAGACGCTTTTGCGCTGGATGGAACATTGGACTTGTTCCTCGGAACCAAGGTTGGGGAGTCATTTTCTGAGGAGAAAGATGAATTTTGAAAATCCTCTTCCAAGAAAGCTGCTATGTCTTGCGCAGTGAACTCGACAGATAAATCCATTTTTGAATGAATTTATCAAGATGGGTATTCTTTAATTTCTTGTAAACTTGCACTGATCACTGTTGGCAGGGAAGTTGGTTAATACTTTGTTGACAACATGATAATTTTTATTTCACTCACTTGTGTCAAAAAGTAATTTTAAGAACAGCAGCAAATTTGGATTCCTATCAAGAAACAAATGTTCAGAAAAAAAAAAAATAATAAATTAAAAAATAAATAAATAAATTATACGTTCCTAAAAATCAAATTTCATTTTATTTTATTTCTTAAATATCGATCAAAAAATGTTAATTTTGAAGTCATAAATCATATGTACTGTTCATGTCAAAACTCAGAAAATAAAAACATGTTCAACAAAAAACTTCAAAAACTTATTGCTGACAAACCTGAACCTCATAAGGTTATAGGGTCCTCCAAACAAGGCCTTGAGATATAAAACATACATGAGAAGTTGTTGAAGTAACAAAATGTTGTTTTCTAAATTTATACTCATTTTGAATGGAACATAATGTGAAAATTATTCAAAACATAGTTCAAAACTAGAAGAAGAAATATCAAACAAAGCCTTAAAATGTAAAGCATAAATGAGAATTGCTTTATAATGCATTTATACTCATTTTGAATGGAGCATAATGAGAAAATAAGTCAAAATATAGTGCCAACGTAGAAGAAGAAATATCAAATGGGAGAGATATATACATGCATGGAAGCAAAAATTAAGCAAAACTATTTGCTTTAACATCATATATATATATATATATATATATATATATATGGATATGGTTAAGCAAAACTTATCACTGCTTTCATCTGATGATCATGACCATTAGAAAAAAGGGGTGTTTTAGATCATAAGAAAAACCATGACTCAAAGCATACAAATATTCAGAACAATAAAAGAGAGAAGCTCACCTTACGAGTTAAAAGGGCACACTCCTTTACGTGTATAGCACACAAAAACCTATAAATTTCAAGCAAATTAGGTTAGTTTCAATAAGCATATGGTTAATTGCAGATTAACAAAGGACAGTATATAGCATGTGCTTGGCTTTGACTGCCTAAATGTGGTAATTCAAGACTAAATTATGGATTCTTAATTGTAAACGAGATTCGAGATTGGATCACAGTCACATGTCACATATTTCAACTGATGTTCCGCATTATTTGGGCAACTATATATATTATAAGCACTATAATCAAACAAAATCAACATGTGATTATTTTACTCATTTTGAATGGAGCATAATGAGAAAACTAGAAGAAGAAATATCAAACAAAGCCTTAAATGTAAAACATAAATGAGAATTGCTTTATAATGCATTTATACTCATTTTGAATGAGAACTGCTTTGAATGGAGCAAAATGGGAAAACTAGCAGGAGAAATTAATATCAAACAAAACCTTAAAATGTAAAACATAAACGAGAACTGCTTTATAATGCATTTATGCATTTATACTCATTCTGAGATTGGATCACAGTCACGTCACATATTTCAACCGACAACTATATATATTATAAGCACTATAATCAAACAAAATCAACATGTGATTATTATTATCATCTTTGTTTTTTATCTTGTCCTTTTTTGGTTGGTCTAGCATATGGTACAAAGGATAATATAGGATAACACATTATAAGATACCAAAGATCGAGTGACAACATTGCAGGAAACTTGCAGGAAAATTATTCAAAACATAGCTCAAAACTAGAAGAAGAAATATCAAACAAAGCCTTAAAATGTAAAACATAAATGAGAATTGCTTTATAATGCATTTATACTCATTTTGAATGGAGCATAATGAGAAAATAAGTCAAAATATAGTGCCAAGGTAGAAGAAGAAATATCAAATGGGAGAGATATATACATGCATGGAAGCAAAAATTAAGCAAAACTACTTGCTTTAACATCATATATATATATATATATATGGTTAAGCAAAGCTCATCATTGCTTTCAACTGATGATCATGACCATTAGAAAAAAGGGGTGTTTTAGATCATAAGAAAAACCATGACTCAAAGCATACAAATATTCAGAACAATAAAAGAGAGAAGCTCACCTTACGAGCTAAAAGGGCACTCCTTTACGTGTATAGCACACAAAAACCTATAAATTTCAAGCAAACTAGGTTAGTTTCAATAAGCATATGGTTAATTGCAGATTAACAAAGGACAGTATATAGCATGTGCTTGGCTTCGACTGCCTAAATGTGGTAATTAAAGACTAAATTATGGATTCTTAATTGTAAACGAGATTCGAGATTGATCATTCACATGACATTATTTCAACCGATGTTCCGCATTATTTGGGCAACTATATATATTATAAGCACTATAATCAAACAAAATCAACATGTGATTATTATTATCATCTTTGTTTTTCATTTTGTCCTTTTTTGGTTGGTCTAGCATATGGTACAAAGGATAATATAGGATAACACATTATAAGATACCAAAGATCGAGGGACAACATTGCAGGAAACTTGTAGGAAAAATATGGGAATAAAGAAACAAACATATTAACTTGAGATGAATGATATTATTGTGCATTTGCAGATTCTTTGTTTTTTCATTTTTTAATTTTATTTATTTTTTATTTTTTCTCCATTTCTATGGTAGCAAGGTGTGTGTTTAAATTGTAAATTGTCAGTGTGTGTGTGTGTGTGTGTGTATCTATATTATATGATTGAGTATCGGCCGTTGGATATGAGTCCGTGTTGTTACTGCATTCACATAATATATGAATATTTGAGAATTAATTAAGATGCGTGTTGGTTATAAATTCGTGATCTGTTACGTGGACCTTTTTACAGATATATTTGAAGAATGACACATTCGTATATATATGCCTAGTATTTTGTCTTATTACTAGCATACATACCTGTGAGATATTAGTTTTGTATTTGGCAATTATCGTTAACAAAACAAATTTAAGCCGAGTTGTAATTCAAGTTATCGAGATTGACAGCGACTGCGGAATAGAAACGTTGTTCCAAGTTAGCATAACCGAGATTATTCGAGAAAGGTAAGAACAACACTTTAGGAAGAATTCTAAACAGGTTAGGACATTCTACACTTGATATACCATTCAGACTTACCATATACAGTGTTTCAAGTTTAAAAGAATCATATTTCAAGCTTCAAGTTTGGATTCAAAAATCCTTCTGCCAAACTTGAACCAGTTCAGCCCCTTTGAACCGGTTCAAGTAGTCCTGATTAGTTTCCAACTTTCAGTTCCCGTTTCAGAATTGTTTCTTAGTTGATATAAATTGTACCAAGTCCTATGCACGAATTTTTCATATTTTCAGAGGGAATAGGACATTCTAAACTCTATATAAACCTTGTCATACACATAGGTTTATTTATGCCTTTTGCATTATTAGTTTATTATTCTTAAAAAGCCTTAAGAAGAATTTTGTATTAGAAATTCTTAGAGAATTTTCTATTTATCTTTCTAGAACATATACACATAAACACTTAGTGAGTTTAGAGTTGTGTTATTCGAATCCTGATCATGATTATACAATTGCATCTACATCGATCAGACAAAAGTAGATCTACTTCTATATTGAATTTGGACGATTGAAGAATAGAAGTAAAAGCGATCACACTTTGAAAGGGTTTGAGCATTCGAGGAGTGTTGTCTGATCTACCTGCTACATACTTTTCTACAAAGATCAAACATAAGCCTAAGGTCAAGTTGCTGTTGGACAGGAAGTCGCAAAGCCAGAGGATTATCAGTAGTTGATGTTTGGTAGAACGATAGGGTACAAGCTAGAGTCAAAGTTCAGTGTACTTTGTTTCAAGCATAGTGGATCGGTTTACCACTATAAGAAATTAGGTTTTTAGTGACAGCCGAATCTGTCCCTAAAAGCCCTAATACCATTCCCAATGATCGAATTCGACCGTCCTTAATAGTTGTGTCCCAAAAGATTTTTAAGAACGGTAAAAGTTGCTCGTCCCTAAAAAGTTCAACCTTTAGGGACGGACTTACTGTCCCAAATAAGACCGTCCCCGTTTGATTTATTAGGGACGGACCTACTGTCGCAAATAGGCCGATTTATTAGGGACGGACTTACTGTCCCAAATAAGACCGTCCCCTTTGATTTATTATTGGGCACGGTAATTAATGTCCCTAATAGTCGATATATTAGAGACGGGTTTGTTGTCTGTCCTTAATACAATACTTATTAAGCACAATTTGTACTGTCTCTAAGATGATTTACTGTCCCTAATATGATTTATTATTATTATTATTATTATTAAATTTGTATTATTATTATTATTTTTCATTTATTATTATTTTTTTTTTGGTTTTTGTTCTACTGGATTTGTGTTCTAGAAAAACTTATTAAACCAAAACATCCGGAACTAAAAAGTACATACATCCACAATATCATTATAGAAAGAAAAAAAATTGATTATCACCACAATACGGTACCAACAAACGAGCTCTTAATCTCATGATGAAACTACAAATTCTCCAGTTTTGTAAACGAGAACTAAAAGTATGTACCAACTGCTTTAACATCAAATGGTTCCAAACATCCTCAAAAATTAAAACATCATTTTAAACTGAATGCAATCATGAAAATGCAGGCCAAAAAATACACGTACCAAAATAGTTAGAAATCAACTAGCTAGCCATCAAAAAGCTCCAAAATATATCTACCAAAATAATTATCTTTATAGTTCATTCAGGTGATTGTTGGCGGCTGCTGATACCAGCTTGGCGGGGCATGCTGTTGTTGGGAATGTGATCGAGAATGTCGATATTAGTGGAACCGTGGTGGTGGTGGCGGCTGTTGGTGCTGTTGTTGCTGCTCAGGAAGTTGTTGTTGCTGCTGTTGTTGCAGCTCAAGTAGCTTTTGAATTGTATCCAACTTCTCCTCCAAACTTGTAACTTTCTCCTTAAGTTGTGCATTTTTTTCTTCAACATTTTTCACCCTTTATCTAGAAGCCCCTTCAAAAGATGAGGATGCACGTTGATGGCTTGGAGCTACAAAACCATTTCTGAACTCATGACGATATCCCTTTCTGATACCTAATTAGTTTTCCACTATCTCAACATCATTTATGATAGGACTGGTACCATCAGAATTGTGAGAAACTTGTGAAAACTTCTCTTTCATTTGAAATTAAGATTAATGTAGTGTTAAACATCAGTAGGTCAATAAAAAAGTAATATTGCAATCAATAACTTAACAACTTTTTTCATTATAGACTAAAGAAAGGTTCTCAGTTCTATGGTCACCTTCTCTTCACTTTTCTTCTGACTTTTTGCATTTCTTCATTGTACTGATATTTCCTACTTATTTTCCTCATTTGTAGTATTCTGTTTTCATTTCAATACTGACACTAGGAAAAACACAAAATAAATGTGTTGTACTGGTATGTTGTTTAGTATTGTCAGTTTTCCCAAAAGTTTCTTGTAATGTTTATCATACAGCTTATACTTCTGAAATTATTTGATATTTTGGATGATGTCATCTTAATTGTTTTTTGTAGTAGTCATGTGTCCTCTATGTCAATTTAATTTTTCCAGTCTGCTTTTTGCTCAGTTTTGTTTAATACATATATATATATTGAAGATTAAGAAAATTGCTTTAATTATCATCACTTTTTCCATACATACTTTATATGATTTCTTCACATGAGTCATGTTGAAGATAAGTTTACGCCCCCAATGTGTTTGGTTGCAGAGATATTTTGATTAAATTTCTTTCAATGCTAATTATAAGCCTGGTGATTAAGATAAATTTGAGGATGTTTCCCTATATTCCATGTTCCTATTCTAATTTTCTCTTTTTTCGTATTTTTATTTATCCGGCCGTAGGTACCGGCAATGGGTGAGTCAAGATAACAAAGTACCTAAATCAAAAAAGGCATAAACACAATCAAAAGAGTAGTACAAGCTAAAGACAAATAATAATGCACACACCATCAAAGAAAAACAAATCTGGAAGATGAATTCCATATGTTCTTAAGGATAAAGAAAAATAATAATAACAATTTCTATACCACACTCAGAGCAAGAAGAATAGAACATGCATCAGGGAATGCAACAAATCATGTATCAAGTTGTTTACTACACATACACGCACAATCTTATTATTAGAACAGCAATTCATATATACTTCTACATATAAGTATATATACTGTAACTAATTTACTACACATACACACAATCTTATTATCAAACAAGATGGCAATAATAACACATTAAGAAAAATAAAAAGAAAGTAAAATGGGGGGAAAAAAACTTACGTAGTTCTACTTAGCTATCTCATTTACCCATCCAGTTTCTTCCCAAAAATGTGTGTCCTTGTACATGCGAATAGCAGGACCCTGCTTAGGACTTTCAACTTCCTCATCAGAGAAAGAGTTGCAACCAAAAAAACAGCCTCATGAACAGAAAATCTAAGAACTCAGAAAAACTAGAATCCGGAAAAGGGAATAGGCAAAGGAAAAGCAAAGCATCAGACTACCCAGGTGAAAAGGAATTGATGTGAGTTTGGGGTATTAGTATATACTCCATTCACAACAAAGAACATTATGTCTAAATTAAAAAAAAAAAAAAAAAATTAGTACAAATTTTAAATTAATCTTCTTTTAATTCCAATTTTAAATCACCAATTTTGCATCAACAATGATCACAATGAACCAATAGAAGAATTGTAACTAACTAACATTATTTCTCTACAGTCTCTCCCTTCAAGAATCATTTATTTTTCATGTGCAAATTAAAATAAAAATTATGTGATATGTGTGTCAGTGTGTGTGATCAATGTAGAGCCTAAACTCACTCTTTCTCTCAGTGGTAGTTTCAGCCAAGTCTCTAGCTACCACCTCTGAAGTGATGAGAAGAAGAGCAGCAAATGCAAGACCAAGCAAAAGAAATGCCTTGGAAGCCATTTTCGTATACTTTTTCAAACTGAAGAAGGATGAGAAAGCTAGTCAGTTACTCGTCTGTATTTATAGGCTAGCTGAAAGAGAGAGAGAATGTGAAAAGCCATTAAAGGGTTAAATATATAATATATATTTATCAAGGTCATAATATAGTTGGGTGTTGAAGGGTTAGCTTTTAATTCATAAAAGTCAAATCTTATCTTATTAATTAAATTCAATCAACGTGACAAAGAATTTGTATTACACCACCAGCGTGCTCACGCCTTCATCTATTTGATTGTGTATTATCACAAAATAGCAGTGAATGAAACTAGGTCCACTTGATCTAGTAGTCAGCCATTTGAGAGAGAAAAATAAGGCTTCTTCTCAATCTGAAGAGGAAAATTAACGGATGGGTCATTTTGGCATTTATTAAATATTAATGTAAGTTAGTGAATATGAATTATAAATTGAAAGACATCAACAACTCAATATATATTAGGGACATTAAAAAGATGGTATATCTTAGGCTGGCTCAACATATAACTCAATGTAGGCAATTCTAACCTTGTTTAACTTCTTATTACACCTACAAATTAAAGTTTTCCATTGATAAATTGTTAGATGAAATTAAGTTCAATAAATGTGCTCTATCATCTTAAACCCCTACCTACTTTAGTGGAACAATCCCAATCTTATTTGATTTCATGGCATGGCATGGGATGGCATGACATTAAGCTCAATAATTTGAAGAAGCAACTCCTTACTTAATTGTGCTCTATCATCTTAAACCCTTAATAGTATTACTTGTATCTTATTATGTAATTTTCAAATTTAGCTTCACATTTGTTTAGAATTTGGATTCAAAATACATGATTCCAAATAACTGATGTTCAAGTGACGGAGGATGATGACCCTTAGTAGATTGTGTGGATTGGTTCAAAATCTTATTCCCTTTTCGGCTAAAAGATGAAGGATAAAAAGAGTAAGTGGGAAGACTTGAAACACACTATAAGAAATAAATCATTATTAGTATTATTATTATTAATTTTTTTGATTTTTCTTCTCACTCTACTACTCACGTCTATATACATATAGACCAATATTGGGAGGTAGACATGATATTTTTGTCAAAGAAATAAAAGACAGACTGGACCAACAAATAAACTGTACCCATTTTAATCCATATTAACAACTTCATTATTATACCAATATGCTAGTTTTAACTAAATTTGACAAAACTTTTGACTTCTCTACCATAGGACTTGTAGAGTGATGAAAACAAATCAATGGTTCACCTTTCTCTTCAAAACCATCCACATCCACAAATCAATTCTACTAATATTTTTTCCCTACTCTCTTTTTGCTCTTAGTTATCCAAATAGATTGTATTTTATAAAAATAAAAAATAAAAAAATTACTTACTTACGAAGGAAGAGAAAATTGTACAAATTAATTAACCTAAAGTGAATACTTACAAGTGTTGCATTCTATAACATGTTGGTTACTTTTCAAATTGTGAAGAAAAAGAAGATACTTAACAAGTGCTGCATTCTATAACATGTTGGTTACCATGTAGTACAAATTTTGAGCTAGTACAAAACTTACAAATCCATTGTGTCATACAAGTAGCGTTATGCTTACTAAATATTGTAATAGTCATGTGATATTGGGTTGTATTTGGCCTGATTATGCAAACAAAATGGGTTGCTCAGAGAACCTAATCCATTTTTTAAAATGAATTTGTTAATAAACAAATATAGAACCACACAAGTATTTGGTCATTTTTATATGGATTGCATAAACTTTTACCACAATTGCAACTCATACAGATGGTCTACGGTTGCATTTGTCAAGTAGCAGAAAACAGTTCATTGAAAGCAAAAACTAGTCACTTGTTACCTGTGGGCAATGCAGCTCAATGACAAAGTTCAGCAGGACTACTTTGACCGGAAACAATATGAGCAGCCAAAACAACCAACACCCTGTGACCGACCAGGACAAACATTTATTAGGCAAATCAGAGATCTTAAAAAGGGCGCCAATACACCAAATGCACATAAAACAGATTACTTGTGGTAAAATATAAACAATTATGATAGGATTTTTAAATTTTTATTTTTCCTGAAAGGTTATGATAGAAAATTTTCAACAAAGAGGTGCAAATTGCAAATTGATGACCAAAATCTCAGTTTCAATTGTCTCTGTGTGTGTGTGTGTGTGTGTATTTATATATTTCTGGTCTATACTTGCATTCCTATCTATTGTTATGTTAGTTCAAATGACAAATTAAGCATTTGAACTTGAGCATACAATGTAGAAAATTGAAATCAGATTGAAAAATAGAGAGACACACCAAAAAATATATAACATTCCAGTAATGATGATCATATAATGGGTAGAAAAATGAAGCAAATGCCAACAAACCCAGATTGCAGAGAGAGCGATAGAAAATGGGCAAAAATCAAAATTTCATGAGAGATCGAATCATATTTTTCGACGAATCAAAGATTTAAAAACAGGCTTACTTACTGTGCTAAGACTAGATCTTGAAGCTATAAATGGAATCCAATCACTGTCTTCACCAAATTCATTCCTAGAAATAATACACACACTCAGAAATTGTAAAACCCCATAACTCTATAATTGTTCAAAACTCTGTTTGTATCTCGGATTTGTCTTTATAGTCCCTTCATGTAAAGAAGAATCTCTCTGATTTTGGATGTGTTTGGTGGGAGAACTAAAAATTACTAGAAAATTATAAAATAAAAATGGTTTGATTGACAGGTTTGAAATTTCTTTTTATGAAAACTCAATTAAGAAAGTCTTAAAGTTTTCAGAAAAATGATCTTTTATAATTTAAAATTCTGTTTTCTGTTTTGAAAAAAAAAAAAAAAAAAAAAAAAAAAAAAAAAAAAAAAAAAAAAAAAAGACAAACAAACTTTTATATGGTTAAAGTAGAAGAATTGGTAAAATAGAAAAATGCTTTCCTAACCAAGTAATATAGCTAAAATAAATAGAATATTAGATGCCATATATCAATAAAAGAGTAATTCCCGAAACGGACTGTGATCAATGAGATGGATCAAAATACTTAGGACTTCCAACTTCTTAACCCAATAAATTTTCTAAAGAATCATCTGATACTGGACACTCAAACTAGAAGACCATGGATACATGATCAGCAATGATTCAACTACCAAGGTTCCAACTTTCATGAAATTTCCAAGCTCAATCAATTAACATTACATCTATACGTCCACCAACATAGAATATGTACTAACCAAAAAAAAAAAAAAAAGTCAATCTTTCATTTTCACATAGCATCAAAAAGACAAACAATATTCACTAATATAAATGTTTGAATAAGCAATTGAAATCAAATTCTACAGCTATAATTTTACTTATCAATATAAAAAAACCTGAACCTATATTTTTGAGATCTAAGATATAAATAAATATATATGTTTATAAAGCCATGCCACCCATATAATCAACACTAAAAATAAAACAATATTTCCAATATCAAAATCTAAAAGAAAAGAAATAAGCAAAGAAAAAATTACAATAAACCGTTAAATGAAAACGAAATATAAGTATGTATAAGATATATATAGACAGAAATTAGAGGACCTGAACGAGATAAAGAGAGGTGGTAGTGGCAGCAACGCCCCGCAAGGCATTTCCGGCTGTTGTTGTTGGGGGGCTCTTCAAGACCTCTATGTTGATACCCATCTTGAGAAAGACAAAATCTAGGGCTATGACTTCAATTGAAAAGAAAGAGATCGATATTGGGGAAGACCAAACCAGTTTTTCACCACGAGATGTCATGTAACGGGTGGAGGGATCATCATTGTTTGAGAGAGAGGACGGAGGAGAAGATCTTGGGCAAGAATAGCAGAGAGCAGATCGAATAAGAAATTGAGAAGCATCTGCAAGTGTGATCCCCGGTGGATTAACTTGTTTATACTTAATTGACCAAA